AAAAAAAAAAAAAAAAAAAAAAAAAAAAGGGGGGTATATTACTATACAGGTTATTTCATGTGTCTTTTTGAGCCTAGGGTTAGGCTCATGGATGGTAGGGGGGGAATTGTACTGGGGAAAATGGTTTATACTCTGAAGGATATCACGTGACACAGGAGCAAGGGTCTTAGATATCATATGATATGGCAAGGATATACAAGAAGAGAAGGATAAGGAAAGATAAAGGGGAGAGAATAGCTCCAGACAAGAACAAGATAACAGAAAACCAGCTTTGCTTTGCCTTATACAGAACTTCGCTTTGCTTTGCCCTGCTTTGCCTTGCTTTGCTTTGCTTTATCTTTACTTTACTCTTCCCTATTTACTTTATCTTCTTTTATACCCTTATCCTAACTATCTTATCCTACTTCTAAGCTTCTTTACAGTTCCCATCTGTGGGAGGCTTCTCTCTCCCTCTTGATTTTCTCACCCTCAGGAAGGCCTTGACATCGAGTGTCCTACCCCCTGAAGTGGCGGTCAGCCTAAATCCTTTACACTACCTTAAGGAGATAATAATCCTATTACCTTAAAAGTAACCTAATAATAATAATTAAGAGGCTCCAGCACTAAGATACTATTATTATAATACTAATACCTAGAACTTACTTTACCGCGCTAGGATACTAACGGTGGCGGCATAGAAGTTAAGGAATAAGGAGACAGGGAGCGAAGACAGGGAGCATACCTATACCTAGAACTTGCTTTACTATATTAAGGAGTTGATAATAATAGTATAGGTATTAGTAAAAGAGGAGTTAGAGAATAAGGAATACCTATAACCTATATCAGAGGAGTAAGGCATTAATAAACTCCATCTCACCCCTAATAAACAAATGGCTGACCGCCGTGAAGATACCATTTTTATATATATATATATATATATATATATATATATATGCGTGTGTGTATGCGTGTGTGAATAGTAAAAGAACAAATTTTAGGATATAAAAGAATTTATATCTTTACTAAGTATCAGAATTATAATATTATTATTATATAATAGTAATAAATATAATAATATATATAACATAATACTAAGATATAATAATAATAATAAATAATAAAAATAATAAATAGAATATATTTAATATAATATTATACTAGTAATAGAACATAATCTTAATAAGTCTAGGGACCAGACTATGGAAGGGGGGGAAGAGTTATGAGGAACAGAGTAGGAATATATATACGGTATAGCTACGCTCAGGCTATAGGTTATATACTTTAGGGGAAAATAATATTTAAGTTATATATAGTATCTATCTTAGTTTTACTCTTTAATTATCAGTTTTAATACTAATCCATACTTATTGCTCCCCATCCTGATATCACGCTTACATTCACCCCTTACAGCTTATTTTCCCTATTATTAAATATTTCTTTATTTAATTCCTAGTCCTTAAAGCTCTTATTATCTAAATTAGATATTCCTTTAATATCTTATAGGTTAATCTAATATCTTTTTTATAGATTATTAGAATCTGGATCTGAGTTTATTTGAAATCTAATATAATATAGGTCCTTAGGTAAAATCTATATAATTACTCTTTTATTCTTAGGTCTAGTAGTTTGGTTTAGTCTATATTAATAGTTATTATAGGTACCTCTCTTAA